TCAGCTGTGTTGGATTAGTACACATCTAAAACCTGCAGGACACCGGCCCTCGAGGCCTGGAGTTCGACTCCCCTGCTCTAGCTCATATTAACAAAGGTAGGACGATTTGACACCTAAATATAGCTGTTAAAGTATGCGTCACATTTACAAAGGCAATTAATTTTACCCGTCAGAGTATGTTTGTAGCTTATATTCACAAAGGTAGGACGGTTCGCCACTGAATTTCCAGTGTTGCCAACTCCTCAGTAAGGAAAATCGCTATTGGCTGTCCTAAAAGTCACTAGAAGTCTTATCTGGAAATGTGCAACCTAATCCCGGTCCAGATTGCAAATGCTTAAGTACTCCTTGTGATTTTAAAACTCGAACAGGTCTTGGTATCACTCATTTAAATGTCAGAAGTCTTCTTCCCAAACTTGATTTTGTGAAAATTTGGATGAAAGAGTTAGATACTGATATTCTTATATTATCAGAAACCTGGCTTACTAAATCAATTACTGACAAAGACATTGCAATAACGGGCTATAATCTTTTCCGTTGCGACCGCCCCAGAAAGGGTGGCGGTGTTGCAATTTATGTAAAAAGCAAATTCCATGTTACTGTCGATTCATCGGTATCTGTTTGTAAACAGTTTGAACTTCTTGCCCTCAAGCTCCAACTTTTCACTTAGTGAAAAACTATCTACTTTAGATTTTAATGAAATTGTGCTGGCCGGAGATTTCAACTGGGACTGGTTGTCCTCTGCCTCAGACAGTTTTAAATCCATGTGTGATTCATATAATCTCACACAACTAATTTACAGCACAACTCGTCCAAATCTTAAATGCCCAGAAAAGTCATCACTTATTGATTTATTTTTAACTAATATGCCGTATAAATATTCTCACACTGTATTCAGACAATCGAAGCTCCCAAAATCAAGGCCACAAATAGTTTTTAAACGAGATTTTAAGCATTTCTGTGAGCAAGCTTTCTTTCATGATTTATGGGACTATAACTGGAGATAGAATCTACCTGATAACTGATCTTGAGCTGGCATGGAATTATTTTTATGATACTTTTATCAAAATTATAAATAAACATGCCCCTATCCGCAAATTTAGAGTAAAATGCAGAAACAACCCTTGGTTTTCTCCTCAGCTCTCCAGTCTACTCAAAAAAAGGGATGCTGCCTGGGCTAAGGCCAGAAAAACTAAATCCGAAGCGGATTGGCTGATTTTTAGACAGCTCAGAAACCGTTCAACTTCCTTAATTAAAAAGGCCAAATCAGAATTCTATCTTTCAAATACTACTAAACATTTGAACGATCCTAAAAAATTCTGGAAAATAATAAAATCTTCTTATGGGGACATAACTACAAATGAGATGCCAACTTTTGTTGTAAAAGACTCCTGCACTTTAACAGAGAAATGCGACATTCTAAACTGCTTTAATGAGCATTTTGTTTCTTCAGGATCTCTATTTGAATCTTTATATCCAGATTTAAAACAGCTTAATCAACAAGAGGCTCTCTCTGCAACCGCTCAAACTGAATCTGTGGTCCAACCCTTCAGTTTTTCTCCGCTAAATGTTTTTGAGGTCCACAGGGCTTTAAATCTGTTGGATCTAAATAAATCTGCAGGACCAGATCAACTTGATCCCTATTTTCTTAAGTTGGCTGCAGATTTTATAGCAGAACCAATAACTTACATTTTTAATCTTAGCCTCTCGAACAGTGAGATCCCTGTAATATGGAAATCACTTAGCACATGTTGCTCACTTAAGCTGACACATGTTTCTTTCAGATTCTAATTGTTACTGACTGCTTATGCAACTGTAGAAGCAATATATTATATATTAGGGGTGCAACGATATTCGTATCGATATTGAACCGTTCGATACAGTGCTTTCGGTTCGGTACGCATATGTATGAACAATACAACATTTGTAATTTATTTTATCAATTTTCCTTCTGACGATGCTGTCTGTGTTGAGCGCTCAGTGAATCTGTGTTCGACTACTCCGCCTAGGCTGCACTGTCGAGCGCAGATCCACTGAGCGCTCAACACAGACAGCATAGTCAGAAGGAAGAGCGCAGGGCAAGCTAGCGAGACAGAAGTTAAGCTCTCCTTGCAACAGGCAAATTGAACCTCATTCAGATCTGGCGTTTGGAATTATTTTGGTTTTCATGTGACGTATGACCCTGAAGGTAAGCGAGTCATGGACTAAAGTAAAACAGTATGTTGGATGTGCCATGCAATGCTCAATTACATGTGGTGGAACTAGTGTGTTAGCGCAGTTAGCTCGTTAACGTGTTGGCCGTCTAGCCCCATGCACGGGGCGATCGGCGGTAGCTCGTTAACGGAGATTTGCCGTGTTGTGGCGTTAAGGTCATTTCAACGAGATTAACCTGAAAGCACTAGTGGGAACACAACGAATATGACTGCACATTTACGCCGACATCATCCTAGTGCAAAGACAAGTGGAAGCAGACAAAAAAAAGCAAGCATGCTACTAACTTTAGCCGAGTCATTTAGACAGCTGTTAGCACATGATTCTCCTTATGCTGCTGAGAATATAGCCCAGAAGAAGCGGATAGTATAGCTTTTATTTTGGAAAGAGCATTTCTCTGTAATAAACTCTCTTTTCCAAAATGAGTGATTCCAATCAATCAGCTTGCAACTAGCCGAGGGCTAGCGATTTTTTCAGTCGGGCTACCAAAATCTATCTCTGCCCTGCCCGTCGGCCTATTCGTAAGGAAAAATATATGTCAATGCTTTTGCATTCTTTCAGAAATGTAGCTGGGTAATTATGTCATTGGCATCGGTGAGCCACTGTCAATATGTGACATATTGAAATCGCGTTTGAATTTGCGCTTGTTTTTTTGCTTTCACTTTGCAATCGTGCGAACTGTGTATAGAGAGCGACAGCACTGATCTGTGAGTGATGATAATTTGTGCACACCAATTCCTCTGACATCGTCTTATTAATCGTTAGCTTACTATGCAAACATGACAAGTGAAATCTCCCGCAGCAAGCTTAAACATGTGAGAGGTTGATCGCGCAGAGAATCGCTGAGCTTATGTGAGTGCGTGTGTAAAAGCATTTCAGTTCTGCTGAGCCAAATAAGACAGGTCAGGGTGAAGAAGTGACAGCCAAAGAAAAGCTTACCACAAAACGGAGAAGTTATGACAAATCAGACTATAAGGCAAAAAGAAAGTGCAGCTTTATGGTTTCATGGACAAAAGAATTTCTGTGGCTGCATATGACGAGCTAAATAACCAGGGCTGCACATAAGTGGTCCGCAGGTGCGCATTCCTGTCAAAATAAAAAACACGCACAAGGGTTAGGGTTAAATTTAAAAACTGTACTTTTGAGTTAAAATATATATTTATAATTTTAATAAATGACAAATTAAAAAGGCATGAACATTTTTTTTATCGAAAAAATATCGAACCGTGACACCAAAGTATCGAACCGAACCGTGAATTTTGTGTATCGTTGCACCCCTAATATATGTACATATATGTATTGGTCTACTGTTAAATGCTAAGTTGGTTTTCAAATTACTTGTCAGCAAGAAAACAGTGTGTCCGTGCTGCTGGGTCTTCTTCCTCTTTTCTCCCAGTATCCAAAGGAGTTCCGCAGGGCTCCATATTAGGGACCATTGCTATTTTCTCTTTACATAAACAACCTTTGTGATAATTTGTCAAATGCAGCATTTCATCTTTATGCAGATGATACAATTATTTATTGTTCATCCCCTTCAGTAGCACAAACCCTGCAATTTCTGCAGTCTGCCTTTGATGTCGTTCAGTCCCATTTAACTCAACTTAAGTTGGTGTTAAATCCAGAGAAATCCAAGTTCATGTTATTCTCAAATGGCAAAGAGTTGTTAGCTACGTCTCCTAAGATTAAAACAATTCAAGGAACTGAAATTGAAATGGTCACATCTTACAAGTATCTAGGGATCATTATAGATCAGAATTTGTCATTTAAAACTCACATTCAAAGGCTTGTGTCGAAGTTAAAACTAAAACTAGGTTACTTTTTTAGAAATCAATCCTGTTTCTCCCTCCAAGTGAGAAAACACTTGATTCATGCAACTTTTTTACCTTTATTGGATTATGGTGACCTGCTTTTTATGAATGCACCTGCCCACTACCTAAAGAGGTTGGATACTGTGTACCATTGTGCTTTACGTTTTATTACTGGCTATGGAAATCGTGTACATCATTGTTCTTTGTATGCTGCTGCTAAATGTCCATCTTTGCATATTCGCAGACTCTCCCATTGGTTGATCTTTATCTATAAATCTCTCCTTGGGCTGGTTCCATCTTATTTATGTGTTTATATGTGTAAAAACCACAACCAATACAGCCTTCGTTCTCACAATATCATACAATTGATTGTCCCAAAAATCAGAACAGAATTGGGGAAAAAGGCTTTTAAATACGCTGCCCCTGCTTCCTGGAATAATCTGCAGAAGGAACTGAAATGATCAGAATTGGTTACCTTGGGAGAGTTTAAGTCTGTCTTAAAGGAACGAGAGAATAACTCTTTTACTCAGTGTGATTGTTTTTAATGTACTCTTAATTTGATCTGTTATTGTATATTTTACACATGTTGGTATGGGATATTGTATTTGTTTTAAATGTTATATACTTATGTGGTATGTGTATTTTGACTTTTGTTGCCATGATGCCAGGTCTCTCTTGAAAATGAGATTTTTAATCTCAATGAGATTTTTTACCTGGATAAATAAAGGACTAATAATAATAAAAATGACATCATCGCCTAATTTGCATAATTGGTCATGCTGATGTAATTGTAACCTACGCTGTTGGAGAGGGTTAGGGTTACTTTAGGGTTACTTTATGTCTCTTCCACATCGTGGAACATTTGACGCTAGTCGCTTTTTAGAAAAAAAGTCGCTAAGGGGGTCTGAAAACTCGCTAAAGTTGCCAAGTTGGCAACACTGTGAATTTCGTGTTGTGCGCATGCGTAGAAACAACGGGTAGGATGGTTTGTCAGGTGGGATGGATTCTCAGAACACCGGAAGTGAGCGTGAAGACGAAGCGGCCACGGGCAAGATGGCACGGAGCGTACTGTGTACATGCCTCGGTGTGCTTCAGCTAGGCAGGAAAACCGCGCTGCTGTCCGGTGCTCGTTTCTACTCGCAGAGCGAAGCGGAGCCGCTGACACTGAAGCAGCAAAGCGACGGAATAAGGTGCAGCTAGTTACCGTATCTGGTCCCTTATACAGATGCACAACAATTATGCAGCAAGACTTTCACAACAGCAGTTTGTTGTAGTGATCCGTACAGTGCCTCAGTTTGTGTGTCAGACCAACACGTACACACAAAGTACACTCGGGATGAATATTAGGTCAGTGAAAAGCGGTTAAAATGTCTGCTATTCTGAATTGGAAACAATGGGGAACATGTTTTCAGGTTATTGGTTTAATTTAAATGCACAAAAGCTCGAAATCTGAATTTCATGAGCAACAACGTGACATTATACTGTCTGTCTGTCCAGACCATTTTTTTCTGTTTTTCTCCTGTCTTCACCCACTATGATGTCAACACAAAATGAAGTTTTTACATTATGTTTTCATGTATTAAGGAAAAGAAGTTCTCCAAACGTACCTGGTCCTGTGTGAAAATGTATTTGTGTCCTAAACCTAATAACTGGTTGTGCCACCATTGGTGCAGTGACTTTGTTTCTCAGCTGTTTCTTTAGATCATGGTCATCAGGCTCTGTTTAAGTGATTTCTCCATTCAGCAGGTCTGCTGCTATTCAGACCTTTCTCTAAAATTATAATTTATTTGATTATCTGAAACATTTAAGTGTGACAAATGTTCAAAAATTAAGAAATCAGGAAAGGGGCAAATATCTATTTACGACACCTACATCATCACCTTCAGCCAAATCAAAGATGGGAAATAAAAGAAAGGGAAAAAAGGTGGCAGACGCCTATATTACAGAATCATTTTAAAGATGATTTCTGTAACCTTGGTGAAAATTGTTCTGAAATATGTTAAAGAAATATATAAAAAAAAACAACATTTCTTCTCATCTTCAGGAGAATAATACTAAACAACCCCAAGAAGAGGAATGCTTTGTCTCTGTCCATGCTCGAGTCTCTCCGAGAGAACATCTTAGCTGATGTTGACAGCGAGGATCTCAGAGTTGTCATCCTATCAGGTTGGTCTTTGTCTATTACGTGTGTGAGAGCGAAAGCCAAATGCCAGTCTGACCTTGTTATGTGTATTTCAGCCAAAGGTCCGGTGTTTTCCTCTGGACACGACCTGAAGGAGCTGACATCTGCTCAGGGTCGAGAATATCACACAAAGGTGTTTCATACCTGCTCAGAGGTCAGTTAGTGTTTCTCTGTCTTCTTGTCTTGTCATTCACTGAGACGTTTATTGATAATTTTGTGAATTAAAATGTAATGAATCATGCCATGCATATTGAAACAACTGCAAAATAAAAACAGATGTTTTCAGACAGTTTATGTGACCAAAAAGCCAAATTTGCTTAATTTAAAATAACATGAAAAAGAGAAACTTTATATATAAGGTGGACTTTGTTATCAAAACCACTGATTGCCCTGTCAAAGATCGATCTATCCACCTCAGCTTCTTTGGTTTGTTTGTTTTGTCTTTTTACTGTGACTGCAGCTTACATGCTGACAAATCACTGTACTGTTTGCTTTGTTACAGATACTCAGGTACAGTTCTGGTCCATTTTTTCCGTCCATTCATTGTGGGCATGATTGTCATGGTTATTTTGAGCTTTGAGCTGAATTTCGCAACTTGTGTAAATCCATTATTCTCCTTAGAACAATTCAAAGAAATCACTAAAAGTCCCAAATGGTGGAAACATCAGATCTCCACATAAATATAAATATGAAGGAAAAACGTTTTAAATATTATGATTTGCGCCCTGTGCTGCAGGTGATGACGCTGATACAAGACATACCTGTTCCAGTGATCGCCATGGTGAACGGTGTTGCCACAGCAGCCGGATGCCAGCTTGTTGCCAGTTGTGACATCGCTGTGGTGACGGAGAAGTCCACCTTTGCTACTCCGGGTGTCAGCGTGGGTCTGTTCTGCTCGACGCCGGCGGTGGCCATTGGCAGAGCGGTGCCGAGGAAGGTGAGGCGCTCCTCCAATTATTTTTGGTTTTATAGTTTCATTCGATGGAAACTTTTAGATTTTCTTCTTGTTAGGACTTAGAAAAGTTCGTTATTCACATGACATTATGCGAAAGATCAAGATAAAATCAGAAATGATCATAAACCGAAGTCATTTAAAAAACGTCTGCTTTTTAAAGGCTGTTTTTTGTTTATTCTCTTTAATAATCAATTTTAACATTTTTGTTTTGTGTTTTGAAGGTTTGAGTAATTACAGTCACTACGAGTAAATTAAAGGTACAGGAGGTCCTTTTTAAATCTTTATTTACACCCTGTCTTAGCTTGGTCTATAAATGAACATCATGAAAATTATTCAACAGAAAAGTTCTCAGTTAAACCCTGTTTTCTATGAGGCACTCATGAAAAACAGGAAGCTGTTCTCTGGGGTTTATCAATCTGTCATTCAGCTCTGAATCACTTGAAGTCAATATCACTTTTGGATTTTGATTCTTCTAAGAGGACACGTGTTCAGAACATGTTGTCTCTCTTTGGATCTACTCAATTGTGAACCAACATCCTTAGTATTCTAGTATTTGGCTCTAATCAATACACACCTTCCTTTCCTTCTTTTAAACAGGTTGCTATGGAGATGTTGTTCACAGGAACTCCCATCTCAGCCCATGATGCTTTGCTCCACGGTCTGGTCAGTAAAGTGGTGCCGGAGGAGCAGTTGGAAGAGGAAACATTAGCCATCGCCCAGCGTATCTGTAAAGCTAGCCGACCTGTTGTAGCCCTCGGAAAGGCCACTTTCCAAAGGTGAGAATTTACAGTGTGTAAACTGACAGACGGTTTCCATGGCA